AACCAGAAAGGCAAGCAGAAGATCCACACCGGCTATAATACTGAATTTGGGGGTTTGAGTCTATGTTGGCCTGAGCTTAGTTATCTGCTTCCTGCTGGGCTGAGAGTGAGTTTGGATGCTACCACTGCAGAACCACTGTGCACAGGAATCTTCCTGAAAAACCTGAAAAAAACCCCCATGGCCTGAAAACCCTTACTCCATGGGGCATAGTTCCCTGCCTTGCTCTTCAGTCCCTGGGTGTGGCAGAAACAAGGGGTTGCCTGAAAAGTCCTGAGCTTGCCCGTCAGTGGGGTCAGGGAGACCCAAGGCTGCTCTGGCCCTGTTGGCTTCGGGTCATGTCCTGAGGGGGACAGCACTGCAAACCCATCTGCAGGAGCCACTTCAGCCCTACCTAGGCTTGAGTTTTCTCTTGACACAAAAATATCTCAGCAGATAATAAGCCAAATAATAAGCCTTGGCACCCTTACACATGTGCCCAGCTGGGTTTTCTTGATGCTTGTGCCCTTTTGGGATGTCCCCAAACCATAGGGGGTTCTAGGGGAGGCATGTTTGGTAGAGGAGACTTCACAGAGCCAAGGGCAGCCTGTGGGGATGGAGGTGGTCAGCTCTGCAGTTGCTGGGAGTTGGGAGCAGTTGGTGAAAGAACTTGTGCACCATCTGTAAAACTGCTATGAGGAGGCATAGAGCCAGGGCATCACCCAACATCTGGAGCATTTCCTTGAAAGCCTGCCCATGTAGCTGAATGGCAAGAGGAGCTGTCCTCCCCTGTGGGGGCTTGTGGAGGAACTTGGGTGGCTTCAGGCAGGATTGGGAAAGATGTGCTTTCTTGGGTGGTGTTTTTTGGGGGTTTTTTTTGAGGGTCTGTATGACTCAGAGGCCATGCACTTTGAAGGGTTTCCACATTTCTCACATCTGTCATCCCACACACTATACAAATATCTCATCTGTGTGGGCTTTTTGGTTTGAGCACCTTTCCCAGGGTTACCCAAGCGCTGAATCCCAGCTCTCTCCAGATATGATGGAGCAGCTGATGGTGAGTGTGCGCCTGGCAGTGGTAGGGTGGCCTCTGCTGTCAGGCTGCATTGCCACCTGCTGGGGGCACACAGCCCCTTTCTGAAGCCACCTCCCCCCAGCAAGGGATGTCCCCAAGCCAGCAACCCTGCCGGAGACAAGCCTAGCTAGGCACCACCCTGTTTCCTCAGATGCTTATTTTGGGTAGATCTGCTGCCTCATTCTTTGTTGGATTTTGTCTTCAGACACTTTGTAACATTGTGAGTTGTAGTTCTTGAGCTTTAGATGTTGTGGTCTGGGTACTGGCCTTCAGTTCAGGTTTCTTTCCCAGGTACAGCTCAAGGGATGCGAGGGACAGTGGCTGAAGAGCTCAGCCAGTCTGGGCAGGAAGATGTGAGGAACCTGTGTTCTTCCCAATGTAAACAAATTTTTAAAAAAATAAAATAAAATCTCTTGCAATAAATCAACTGTATGTGCTGGGACCTTGGTGGCCTGGAGCAGGACTTGTGGTCTCACTGGGACCAACCATGTTCCCTTGCATGTTACCATTTGAAAATCCCACTCCAATTAACCAAGGTATCACACTGTGCTGGAAAAACATGAACAAAATAAAAGAGGGGAAAGGGGGAACGGTGAGATAGTGGTGCAGATGAGATGCTGGAGAGAAGCAAGGTCTGTCTGTATAACTCATGTAAATGAAGCCCTTTGCCAGCAGCTTTGTGTGTCGTGTGGTTGCTTCTCCCACCGCTGCTTTTGTGGTATCGCATGTGGGACATGCAGCCTTAGTTCTCCACCTTGCCCAGATCCGTGCCTATCAGACAGGAAAAATGTCTCTGCTGGGGACAGGAGGCTGAGCTGGCGTTTGTGGAGGCTGAGTTGATCTTCTGCTGTGCTTTCTCCCTATCAACACAAGGAGGGTGTCTGCCATGCTGCAGCCAGCAGCCTGCTCTGAAGTAGTTTCAAAGTGAAACCAGTGTGCATGAAACCACTGCAGTGGTGGTTTGTAAACTAATTTGTCAGATGAGCTGTGTCTGATTGCTAATGCTGTAGGGGGTGAGGATCACTCATGGGGGGGATTTGTTTCGCAACATAGTGTTAGCCACAGATTTAGCATCAGCACTGATTGCAGTTTGTGGGCATTTGAAAAGTTAGCATGCAGGAATGGGAAATTAAATAAGTTGGGAAGAGGCAACAATAACATATCTGTCCCCTTGCACCATCCCTGTGTCACCTCTTTGTAGCTGAGGCTGCTGTCAGCTCTTCAGAGCTGAAACCACAGCAGGCTCTTTGGGGAGATGCACACCTACAGGTGAGATTTGGTTAATAGTATTTGGGACATTTTTCATCTTACTGATAACACTGGTATACACAGGGGGTGACCACAAACTGAGCCAGATGGCAGAGCATTCAAAAATGTGGTTTTTACTTATTTCTTGGGAGTATAAGGCACTTGATTTTTTTTTTTTAATGGATCACCATTGTGGATAAACATAACCAAACATAAACTAAGTGTTAAATGACTGCACTTCTGGTAAAGGCCCTCTCATGTAGCTTGTTGAAGCAGAAGCAGTTTTCAGGCTTCTTCTTGCTCACACTCCCTCTGCTTGGCACAAAGATGGGTGGAAGCAGGCAGCACCACACCCCTGTATGAGAAAGGAAGGGCAACCAGAGAAACAGCACTATACTGCTTTCCCATCCTGATTGCTGGACTCTTCAGAGAAAACCTTTATCACAAACCTTAAGAAATTGAAACTGTAGACTACCAGGCTGTGTAGGACCTCAAGCAACCTAATTCATGCTTGTGCTGGAGGGCAGGATCACCTTTACCTGTACTGGTAGTCTGGTTTTAAAGCCGCTGGTGCTGGACAGTCACAGTCTCCCCAATGCAGCCTGTTTTTCCTTCCAGTGGGCAGGAGGGTGTGTTTTTTGGGAGGATCCACATCCTCTTTCTGGAGGCCAGCACTGCACACAGGTGTATTTTGGTGCAACTATGACTGACCTGCAGGACTGTGGTCTCAGCCATAGTCGGGAGGATGCAGCCTTGGAGGGAGATAGCACTGCAAAAGGATGTCCTGGGAGAAAGGCACAGCCTGCGAGGGAATGCACAGAGCTGGCCTTGATGGATTTGAGACAGGGAAAAATGTGAAATACTCTTAACACTCACGGTGGTTGGGAGTCCAGTGAGCATCTGGGAGCCACCAGGGCAGCTGTTGTGGCGTATCTTGATTTCTTCAGAGATGAATCCTGGTCATGGGGGGAAGGTAAAAACAACCCAAAGCTTGTTCATTTCAGCATTTTTATTAAACAGTGCTCCACTCAGCAGTTGTACACCAGGCCCTGATGATCCCCTGATCAGTGTACGGACCCTGGGATGTGATGCTGCCATGACACCGGCCTGCAGAAGCAGCGCCCAGAAGAAGCTTTTACAGAAGCAGCGCCCAGGAGAAACCCAGAAACCCAGGCTCAGAGCAGTGTCCCTACACACCAGCCAAGCAGGGAGGTAACTTACAGCAGGCCACATGTGCTACAGGATCCCACTCCCAAACTCTGAGTAGCCCCATCTTGCTCTAAAGGCTGTGCCTCCTCCCTTCCAGTCACCTCCCTGTGTTGTTCAGGCCCTGTGAATTATAGAGGATGACCACTGCTGAGTCTGCATGAGCTTTTGAAGCTTCTCATAGGGATGCCCAGCCCAAAGCAGATAAGCTTCTCTGCACTTCAGGCTGTCTTTTGATGAACTTCCAGAAACACATGATGGCAGCAGGAAGCTGGGCTTTGAGGAAACAGGCAGTCTTCCAGGTATGGTTTCTACTCTTTGCTGGAGCAGCCCATCCAGGAAGTTCTTGAGGGTCTGCCTTTGCTGCTTGTGATCAGGCACATGTGAGCGAGCCCTGTCAGTGTGCCATGTTTGGTCCTCCTGCTTCACTATCACTGGTGCAGGAGCAGTGCTGGCTTGGACGTTGCCTGTGCTGCCCTGCAGCTGCTTCCTGTAGGTGGCCTGAGGCACTTGGCAACTGGGCCCTTAAAAAAATCAAAACTCACATCCAGTCTTGTGCAGGCTGAGGAGCTGCCCTCAAACAGCACAAACCTGTATGGCTGCATCAGCAACTTTCACTGTGCTCAGTGTTTAGCTCATGCTCAGTGCTAAGAAAGTGGTTTACGGGGTCAGGTCCCTAATTGCTGCAAATTAGTGTAGCATCAGCTAAGGATGGAAAAGCAGATTTACTCCTTACAATTATCTGGTCTGCTTGACAGGTCAAAGTTATTTAACCTAGGGGAGATTTTCCAGGTGGGTAGATATGTGGTTGCATATCAAACTACAACACACAGTAACAATGCAAACAAGTGACTCAAATTATCCAGGTTCAGGAAAGCTTATAAAACAAAGCATGTAAACAACATCTATACAGGTAATAGGTTAAACACTGACAGAACTCAGTGACATACATTTATTTTCCTATGCTGCTGCTGGTGGGCCTGGCACTGCCTAACACCTACAATATTCATACACAATTTTAAATAAAGAGTGGAAAATATACTTTCAAAGCTAAACAGAAGAGACCACACCAGCAAGCATGCTTAGCTCCCTTTCAGATTGGAGTTTTCCATTAGATGATCACTAGACTTATGCTAAACCTTGCAAAGGATAGCAAGTAAGTACAAAAGCTAGTGGATTATTTGTCCACTAAAGCAGGTGGAAATTCAGGACAAGGCTTTGGCATGCCAGTTCCAGCTGTGCCATTTGCAGTCTGACATTAAAAAAACGTATAGAAAGACTCAAGTCCATCACATTCCCTTCAGGTGGAACAGCCCAGCTACTGAACTGCCTACTCCCTGAGTGCTCAGTAAGAAAACCCTTAAAAGCAACTTGCAGGGCAGTAGTCGCAGTTTTTCACCTTTTGTTTTCCAACTTTTGTTTTCCAAAGGCAACTAGATTCCTGAAAGTTTTTGTCAGCATAAAAAAAAAAAAAAAATTAAACAGCCAAAGTTAAATCCAATAGAAAGCTTTCTCCCAGGAAATGGGATACAGAAAATAGCAAAACTCTATAGCCAACAAAATACTGTACACTTTCTCCCTGCTCCCACCTGCAACCCTGCATTTTTTAAGAGACACCAGCAAAATCTGCATTCTGTCTTTTAAACTGAAACAATGCAATGAGATGACTAAAAATATTAACTCAGCATGCCGTCAGGAGGATGGATTTATGTTCAGTTAGGTAAACAACGATGAGTCTGGAAGAAAGAGAAAGCAGCTTCAAACTGCTTTTCCAAGTGCAGAAGGATTCAGGCAGGAAACTGCCAAACTCAAATTTAGAGTTCAAATGCGGGGAACTTGGCCTTGGTTGGCACCAGCAGGTCCGCAAGAAAGTAGATCGTTCCAGCCATACCTGAAGATAAGAAAACACAATGTCCTTCAGAGATTTAGGCACCCATTTTGTCAATTATCAAGAGGATGAATGAGTCATGAAGTCAGAAAAAAGGAAAATGTTTTCAGAAGGACCTACATTATTTCCAAGGTCTGAACCCAGGTTTCCCAAGCAACTTGGGTACATCAGTGGGAAAGCATTTTGAAGTTCATCAAATGTTGAAAAGCACCTGGGAAAACATGATGGACCTTTCCCTCCTCCAGCTACCTCCCTTCTCCTTTAGCTGTCCACAGGTTTAACAATTTGCCTATCTCCGGTCCTCACTGCTGTAACTGCCCTTGTTCCTTGGCCTGCAGCAAAGCTATGGAGACTTACGTTAGCTGAGGAACTGGCTCTTTCAGCAATACCTGCTGATGGCAGATTTTGGGGGAGCTGTGAGCAGGAGCCACAAAGTGCCATAGGAGCCAACAAAGCCTACAGAAGCAGCCCCATTTGTTCCTCACTCACCTTTGGAATGGAACTGGAAAGCCCATGAAGGATTTTAATCCTTAAAAATACACAGAAAAGAGACTGTCTGAGAAGCCAAGCTACAAATTACTGTATGGTAGACTTTGGCCTGTGCCTGTTAAAGAATTCCCCTTGAGAGCTGTGTGCAGAATTCTGTGCAGGAGGCCCAAGAGGACAAGATGCTCTATCTAAGACATTAGCCTGTGTTACAAGAAGACACCTTCTGGAAAAGGGTAAAACCAGTGAATACAATTTCCTTCCCATCCTGTACGCTGAGTTTTGCAAAGCCTTCAGTGGAGCGTGTATTTGGTTTTCCTTGGTGCTGGACTGGCTCAGATCCAGGAGCAAAACAGAAGCATAGAGATGGAGCTTACCTTCAAAGAGGGAGAATGGCGTGTCTGGAGTCCGGCAGCCATGTTGACCATAGCTTAAACACCACTCTGCAAACTGTGAAAAGAGGAACAACAAGTGTTCAAATTCTGTTAAAGACAGATCTTTAAAAAAACCCACCCTCATCCTCATATTATCCCTTGCAGAGTAAGGCTTCTGCAGGGTATTCCTTCTGTACAGGCTGTCAGACAGTGACTGTGCTGCTGAAGGACGATTCTGGTGGAGCTGGCCAGAGCTAGGTGCATCTCTTCCACACTAGAAATTAGGTTTCAAAGGCAAATTTGATGAGGTAAAAGGCAGAAGTGAACAGTCCCCTCTCCCTTCCTTACATAGGCTCTCACCTTGCAGGCCCTGTACAGGTATTTCATGTTCTGAGTGAGGTTGTACAGCGCTAGGAAGCTGTAAGCATTGCCAGCTGTCCCATGGCACAGCCCGTAGCCTTTCTTCAGTAACCCATGCTGCCAGATCACTTCTGCGCACTGTATGGCATCATTTAGGTACTGCTGTTCCCCAAAGACCTGCAGAGACAAGAAATATTCCTTCTTGCCAAGGCAATTTCCTCCACACAAAGAGCATTCCTGTGTGAGCGGGGAGGCTTGGGTTAATTAGTTTCTCTCCTACTGAAGTCTTAATGCTGTGACTTTGCTCTCTACTTTAAAGGAGGATGTTTTTGATATGATGAATGGGGCTGTAGGACCATTACTTCACACACAACTAGTTGTCACCATCAGTCACCTGCAGCAGGACACCCCAGAGAGCTGATGGGTATTTTCAGAAATAGTTTTTTAAAAGACTAGTTTCTGTTTTGGTCAGTGGTCCCTGTGGGGTGATTGCACTGCAACAAGCCATCCTTCTCTCAGGCAGGAGTGTCTCAACAGAGTCTTCTCCCTGATGAAGTTCCACATTTAGGGGTTCCCAAAGGGTCTTTGCAAGATTTCTGGTACCTTGTAGGCCTGGACAAGCATGTAGATAACACCGGGTGCCCCATGGCACCAGTGGACGAGGAGGTCTCTGTTGTCATCGATGCATGGAGGGTAATTGCCGGATGGGAACTTGAGCTGGCAGACGTAGTCCACACTGGGTTTGACTGCGTTGTGCAGTTTTACTTGGCTCACTCCAAGGCCAGGCTAAGAGAGAGAAAGCATTAAATCAGGGAGAATTAGCATTTTATCTCTCCCTAAGAGGCACAAGATCTGCCTGAGAGGCAAAAACAAAGCCAACTATGGCCACGTTCCCTCTTGCTCCTTGTAAAAGAAGTAATTTAAGAGGCACAAGATCTGCCTGAGAGGCAAAACCAAAGCCAACTATGGCCACGTTCTCTCTTGCTCCTTGTAAAAGAAGTAATTTCTTTGGTCCTGGCTTTCCCACATCACAAATACCTGCTTAGCTGCAGGCTGCTCTGCCTTCAGCGCGGACTTATTTCCAGTCACACCCTTGCATCCCCAGAAACAAAGGCTGCCCCTAGCATGTCACCCACCCCTCTAAGCAAAAGGGCTTGCTGCTGCTTTTCTTGAAGATGAGTAGGAATAGTTTCAGATACCCAGAGCTGGAGTAAAGAGATAAACTCCATAATAAAAACAGTATGAACAATGAATACCAGGAATGATTCCTAGCACTGAGAGCATCTCAGATCTGAGCTGCTGGGCCAGCCAAGCTGGCAGGCTGTGATGCTGCATTTTCACAGATGTTTCTGGGTAATTGCAAGGGGGTGACCTTGCTGACCCCAGACAGAAGTAGGGGAGTTGCTTCAGTGTCCTCTTCCAATGCCACTGCCCCACATGAAATTTGTGCAGTTCTAATTTCCCATAGCAATCTGCAATAAGCGCTCTCATCCAAGGATCACACTGTTCCCAGGCTGATTACTTGAAAATTAAAAATCAATACTTGTGCTGTAAAACCATCAGAGATAAAAGTCCAATGTTCTCCTCTCCATCTTTCCCTTGTTTGCTTCCTCCAAGGCTTTCTGTGCAGCATGCCTGGCTGATCCAGGCTCCTTGTACTTCATACAGCAGAGAAGCATGAAGTCCATGCAGTGTTTTATGGGACGCTTACACTTAAAATTCTTTAAAACATCAGCCTGAGAACAAGCTCAGGGACTCGGTGCAAATTTGGGCTCACAGCACACTGCTTTCTCCCCTGCTCCCAACTAGCCATGCTGTACTCCTAAGCAAGAGTCACCTCACTTCTCTCTTGACAAATCTCCTTCTGCTTAAAAAACACCAACCACCCCTTCCTCTCGGAGTCATGTAAGAGGGTTATATTCACAGCAATTCCAGTTATCCTGTATATGGGCTTGAACTTTGAGGCTGCTTAAGGAAGGAAAGCTCAAATACTTGAAACCTGGTGGCTTTTCTCCACCTGCTGTGAGAGTTGGGTCTAATAAAGGCATCACTTATTTCTATGAACATTGCTACATTAAAATAATTTGCATTGCTTAGTGTGTGCCCTTAATGCTTTGAAAATGCAATGTTATTTATTGCTGTTATTTTTCTAAGAGCTTAAGCACTGTAACTTTATGCATACAGTGACCCACACAGGGGAATTACCACCCTTATTTCAGAGACAGGGAAGGGAATATTCCCAGAGCTCCAGTGAGTTGTGCAAAATTGTGAGAAAGACGGCATCAGGGCAAAGGGGCATTCCAGCTCCCAACCTCTTGTCTTGCCCTGCCTACTTCAGGCCCTACAGAAGACAGCTGTTATCAAAGTAAAAAGTTCCACCTCTTTCCTGTTCAGATACAGGCCTTGATTTGGAAACAAAGGTACTTTCCTAAGTACTAAGCTTTTCTTACAGAGCTTCTCACTCTGTAATGATCTGAGATTGCTCCAAGTAACCACCTCAAAAGATGCACAAAACCCACACATACCAACAAATGGGGATATTTTTTAAGTAAATAACACAAGAGGGGGAAGCTCAGACCCAGCTGACCTACAGGCCTTCATTATCTGAAACTGCTAGTAAAATGCAGATCACATTTCTCTGCAGATCTTCACAGAAGTGGGAAATTAAATCTCACAGACTTGGAGAAAACCTTTAGAAGTGGGGATGCATAATCACAGGAGTAAGTCCATAAGACGAGGGATCTTGTCCAGCTTGACATCACCAAGAGCCAATTCAAATGCTCCTCCTTGTTCAAAGAAACATTGAACAGCTGCTAAAGGCCTCTCCCCTCCACCACCTCTTACCTGCATGAGGTAGTAGTAAATCCCAGCCAAACCATGGGCTGCCCCTACGTAGTACTCCTGGTACCACTCGTAAATCAGTGGGCTCTTCGTTGTAAAGTTCCTCCTTTTGGCCAAGCTCTCTCCTGAGGCTACAACTGCTTCACAGACCTGTGGATGGGAACAGGTGCAGGTGAAGGAAATGCCGCTGTCTTGGACACAGCCCTGCGAGTATCCTGACACTGAACAAAAGAGCTGTTTTTCTGCCCAAGCAGAGGGAAGAGTGGGGGTGAGGGAGTGAAATGTATGCCATTCAGTACTGCCTATGGATTTATATGGATGGTGGGGGGGCATGTGGTGCTTTGTCCCTTTGGAAGAAGAGTAGCAGGGATGCCATGATATGGTTTGTCCCCTGTTGCCAGAGTTCTCTACATCTAGTATTGATTTTCACCTGCCCAAAGATGAGCTGCATGGGAAGAGACAACTGACAAATCATCAGAAGCCACAGTACCTGCTGAATGTGACTTTGAGGGATCTTTTCTTCTCCAAAGTGCTTGTTCACAAATATTAGTGCATAGAGATAGCCCATGCGCCCATACAGCAGTTCGTCTGGCACTCGGGGGTCGAGCTTGTGTAGATGGAGCAAACTACAAAGAAAAATTCATATAGGGGAGATCAGAGGACGCTCAAAGCCATGTAATCAAGCAGTGAGACTGGAGCTCAAAAACACCGCGTGTTCCTTCATGCTGCCTGTGCTCTGGAGATGTCACTCTCTGGGTCTCAGCCTTCCAGCGATACAAGGTGCAGAATCCCTCCTTCCCCTCCGATTTTTGTTTGGGTTACTGCTTTAGTCTGCTAAGCTCTTTATAATGCAGTCATACTATGTGCTTGGTTTTTAGAGCACCAGCCCTGGGAAAGCTACTTGTGGGGAAACCTGGGCTATAGGAAACAGTCAGCATAACCATTACCTCCCTGTGATGCTGCTGGCAAGGCAGACCCCCTGCCAAAAATGACTATTTTCAAACTAAACTGGTATCTGTTTAATTTGGCTGCTCAAGAGATGCTAAAGTCAAACTAGTGCTGATGGTATGTGGAAAAATCTCACCCTTTACGTCCAGAAGTCGTGATAGAAAAGCCCCTTTCTCTCCATGCCTGCAAGTGGCCAGGGCTACGCTATCCATGGAGAAAGGTGCTTCCATGAGCTAAAAATCTAGGTAAGAGGTGGGGAGAAGCAGCTGGACATGTTTAACACCAAGCCTCTGCAGCATCTGTAAGAAGTCTTCTCTAGGGAGAACTAAGTAGTGAGGACAGCTCAGCAGAGCATGAGTGCTGCAGGCTGTCTGTGGTATGACCCTGCACTGAGGACAGCTCGGCAGGCACCAGGCTTTAGTCCACAAGTGTGGAGCGAGAGGTCTGCTGGAGTCAGATATTTTCTTTGCCGTTTTTCTGTTATCATGTTGCAAAGTCAGTGATATTCCTCGTATGCTAACAGAGACTGACAGCTCTTCACACTGGTGCTTTGTAGCCCAGTTCACTCTTGATGCAATTTTTTTCCTTTGTTTTGCCTCTCATCACACCTCCAACAAGGCTGGATGTCCTTCCCCGCCAGAACAGCAGGCAGGGATGTGACTGGTTTTGGCTTGACTTTTCTGTTCACCCCTGAGACAGCACTCTGAAAAATGCCATCACTTTTAAAATACCAGCCCAAGTGGCTTCAAGGCTGTTCTTTCCTGACTAAGAAACCAGCCAGGAGAGCTGTGTATGTGCAGGGCTTCCCTGTCACAGCGGCGTGAGGAGCAGAAAAGGTGCCTTGGCGGCCTTTGCTCCTGGGCAGAACAATGTGTTGCAAAGGAAAGAAGCAACCGAATGTCCGGAGTACCCTCGGAGCAGAGAGAGGATGCTGGGCTGTGGCTCCTCATGGCAGGAAACTTTCCCTTGGCACTGGGCTCAAAGTGAGCAGGGATATTGAAGGAGAAAGGAGAGCAGTGTCTCAAGGTGGACTGGCCCTGTCTCCTCCTGTACCACTTGAGATGCGCATTGCTCCATGGGGGAGATTTCTCGCAGATTAAACCCAAGAGACAGACTTTACATCCAAGACTAGGAGTAAGCAGGGGTTCCTCTCTCAGCTGTATGGGCTGAAAGGAAAGCCCTGCTGCCTCCTCATGTCCCCTGTCCCCAAGTCCAAGGAAGGCAGATGAAGAGGAGGGTTTCCAAGGAGGAAAAGAGTATTTTGACAGACTCTGCCCAGCAGCAGGCTGGCCAGAAGAGATGCTGGCTGGTGATGTTCATCTCTGAGATGTCAAGGAAATATTAGGTGCAATAGAAGGAAGGGATGGGTGGATAAACAGTAATAACCACAGTAGGATTTTCTGAGGTTTGGATGTGAAATATTTTTCTGTGGAGGTCTGGAGCAGCTGGAGCTATTCTTGCTCCTCATGCATTACTGTTGCTACCTCAAGCTCCTTTCCCAGCCAGGATAATCAGGGGAGGAAGCTTGCCAGTGGCTTCTGTTGTTTTAGAAATGTGGGGCAGGGCTGCATGGCATGTGTGCAGCAAGAGATGCCAGGGATGCTGCTGGACTCATTGCATGTGGAATGCAATTCTCAAGTGTGAGGGGGTAAACTGAGGTCCCTGAAAGGAAGAGCCACTCCTGCTCACATATCAGCCTATTACCTCAACTGTCAAAAATCAGAAGCTTCTGGACAGAGGGAAAGCGACGCAGCTGTAGAGAAAGATGGGATTTTTGTATGGCCTAAAAGCAACCCTTTGACCTTCTGAATTGGTGGGAGATGGCAGGGAAAAGAGGACTCCTGCAACACAGCTCACATTTTCACAGGCTCTTGGAAAATGGGCTGCCCTGCACATCTGTTAGTCATGAACTCATTTAGGCAAGAGCAAGGAACTAAGAAAAAGCAAGCAGCTTTCTCTTCCACTGCAGGTAAAACCTGGCTGATGGATTCTCTCCCCGGGCTCTGTAAAGATGTGGTGCTTCGAAAGACAGAGAACAAAATGGAGAGAGGCCTTCCTTCTCCACAGCTGTAACAGAACTGTACTTTCTATGCACTTGTACTGCATAACTTAGCAACTGTTCTGTAACTAAACAGCATAGTCAAAACCCACTTAAGAATTTCAATTAAGGGAGCCATTTCTCAAACAAATACTCTCTTTTTAAAGGTAGCATGGTCAGGCTAACTGCTCTGGGAATTGGTGTCAGAGTAAGGACAGTATAACTGTTCATTTGAAAAAGCCACATTTTTCTTCTTTCCTCCTCTCAGATGTAGGAAGAAAACAACTTCCAAGGCTCTGCCTTTATTATGCCATTAGATGGCAGTGCAGAATTAATCATGAGTTTCCATTCTGTCACAGAACTGTAGGCAGAACAGAAGGGATGCGGGGAGGGGAGAGCTACAGCAAGAAAACACGGATTAGAGATTTTTCACAACTTGGGGCTTATGCGTTGACCACAATTGGCCAGTCCTGTTTGGCAGATTAGTTCCCTTTTTGTTAGCAAATACATTAATCATAGTGAGGTTCACCACTGTGAGACAGTATTAAGCAAAACATAAACTGCAGATTATTTCAAGAATAAAGAAGAGTTCTATCCTCAGACTGACATCCACATAAACGAGAAGCTACTCTTAGTTAAGGGAGTGGTTGGTGTCCAAACCATACGTACACTGCTGATTCCCACCCACTGCTTTTTTAATTGATACTATGAATCACTTGCTCATGGCTGTTTAAGGGCACTCAGTATTGTTCTGAAGTGCCAGGGGTTTTGTCTTATTTTTGCGCTGACCACGCGTAAATGGAAACTCTTTACAAGGCTGTTTCTCACCTTCTCAAAACTCATCTCTCTTAAGCAAGAAAAGCTTGGAACTGCATCTCCTTAACTTTTTTCTTTCCTCTGCCACATGCTGATTCTGACTGTAGGACTGCTTGTTTGTCCTTTTCTTGTCTTAAGTACCCAACAAAAATACATTTGAAAACAGTTGAGGAAAGGCAGGAACCAGAAATAAATGAATCATAACCAGCTGCATTCAGCAGTTGAAAGGGATGCTGTCAGTCTTAAGTCAAGGTCAACTTAACAAATAGCAAGTGGAAGCGAGTGACAAAATTAATCTAATAATCCTGCCACATTTCTCCTTTTCATCAAAATGGCTCTAAAGCTAAATTTAAGGGTTCTACAAAAATACCAAACCTCAGCTCTGTTTTGTTTTTTTTTTTTTAAATTTTGGCATTTTTTTCTTCCTGTGTTTATCGGACTTATTTTTAAGATGGCAATACCAGCTGAACAATATCCTTGCTCCTCAAGCGTGTTTGTCCTTAAGCTACCTCTTTTCCCGGGGCAGAACAAGTTTGCGCAGCCTTGCTAAGTTACTGGATTCACTCACATCATACTGCAATAAAATGTGTTCAGGCTTGGCAGAGAGTGCCTGGTACCAGCCCAGCCCAGCCCATCTCTATGAGCCAGAGGAACATTAAGTCAAAGACGTAACCAAGCATTTTACCGAGTCACGCAGTCTTCTGACTGCTTTTTGTTCTGCAGTTTGTGGTAGACTACAGCAGCCACTGCCAGAGGCCCAGCATCTCCACACAAGAAAGTGATGGATCGTCTTGTCAGGCAGGTCAGGCTCTTCTTCACATACTCATGGGCCACCTGAAGATAGGCTGGGTCTCCATACACATCATACAGGTGCAAATACAGCAAAGCAATGCCTGCAAAAGGAACATAAAGGTTGAACCCACCAGAAAAGTTTACCCTTCCCGCTATGTGCCCTGGCTATTTTAATGAATCTAAAAGCCTGGCCGTCAGCCTCATTTAGGGCATAAGCCTTCTATACAGGCTTCTTAGGCACATCCAGGGGCATAACCCATAGCATCCACAGCTTCTTTTCCTGCTTTGTGAACTCTGTGTACCCAATGCTGTTCACGAGTGGACTACAGGTCAAGACAAACAGCGGTGTCTGACCCAGGAGGTCCTGGAGGACAATGGAGCTTCTGATACACAGGTTACATACAATTTTAGTAGCAAAGAGCAAAAGATGGGACCTAGACAAACCACCTAAATCTATCAACTGTAGCTAGGACTGTTGCTAAACAGTGGAGGAAAAAAAAAAAAATCACCTCTGGGCAAGATGGTACTTGTTGCAGAGTAGTGCGAAGTTGTTATCCTATCTCAATTTTCTTTTTCTTCCCACGTCAGGAGGTAAAGGGCTGGGTCACATAGTTTGGATTGGATTTTTTTAAAAAGTGACATGTCATCATCACTGAGAAGCAGCAACCTTAACACATCCTACTTGGCTCTTTTGCTTGGTTGTTATGTTTTGTTTTCTTTTTTTCCTTCCCTCCCACTGGGAAGCAGATCCCTGGACACCATCTGCTGCTGAGAGAGACTGGTGGAGAAAAGAAAGGGGCTGCCAGACTCTCCTCTGCAGCACATCATGAATGAGATCAGCCCTTACTGGAAACAGCTACCTGGAACACTGGAAAAGGCTGCATGGTCCTCACTGGAGGTTTTCCATGGGCTGGCCAGCTACAGAAGCAACTCTGCTACTGAGAAGTCACATCAGTTGCTGTCCCTTGCCCTGTCTTCACCCAGCTCTTGAAGCTTTTAGTAGGTACCTGAGGAGCCCTCAATAAGTCTGTGTCCGAAAGGTCTGCCCCATTTGAACCATCCTTCTATCTGGAAGGCATCCTCAAACATGCACTGAAGAAAGCTACTGGCCTACATCACTTTGAGAAAATCTTATTTCTCCCTTGCCAGTCACCATTTCTAAGAAGACTCAGGTCCTGTGTATAAGCCTAAATTAATAGAGCCAATCTCTGCAGATTTTGATGTGGTAAGGTGTGCGGGGACAAGCATGCTGCAAAATTCCTTTCCATGGTACTGAGGACAATTTTATATTTAGATTGTTTTCTCATTTTGCACAGGTAATCTCCAAAGTATCATGCTACAGACAACTCAATTCCACATGTATATTAAGGGCAAATTTCCATTTCCTGCTTAAGCTAGTACCCTTGTACTCTCTCTGATCAGTTCAGTGTCAGTATTTCCAGAGAGAGCTCACATGTATGGTGCCATCATTCAAGTCTATAAGGATGTGGGTATGAAGCCCTTCTTCAAAGCAGAACCCTCCTCTTCCAGCTAGCAAATATCAAGTGATTCTCCTTGATTTATTTAGGACCTAGCACAGCTTCTAGACTTTAACAGGCCTGATATCTGAGCACAACTTGCACTCCTGACTTATCTATTTTAATATACAATTTTTTGCTTTCTAAGTAGCTTCTATCCCCACTGCAATCATACCACCCTAATTATGTATTTAACTACCATGCTAAGACCACTGCTAGGATTGAATTCTTAGAAAGTAAATATCTCAGCATTGTTTTCCTCTTACTGCTTTGCCTCTTCTCTTTTAAAATATTTCTTGCCCCCTTTCCTACCAGGTTCAATCATCTTTGGAAAAGACTCCAAAAAAACCCTTGACCTATACTTATGTTGGATTGCAAACAGTTCTGCTGGTGGGAGAACAGCAGTAGTGAGACAAAGCTTACCCTTCACACTGAATAGAGTGGACAAAAGTGAGAGGAACCTCTGCCTGGTGTCAGCTCCACTGCAGTCCCCTTGCTGACAGTACCAGCAAGGACGCCCAGTAGACATGTTCTGAACGTGCCTCCTTGTCCATCAGGAGCTGAGCTGCAATGTGGTCTTTCACAAAGGACACTAGGTTGGCAAGAGAGATTTCTTGACCTAATTTGGACCAGTTCCAAACCGGCCATCTATAGTAACAAAGAGCTTGGACATCTGGCATTCATCCAGGGAATGAAGTCAGCCAATACCCTCAAAGCAGGATGCGAAACACAGAGGGAAGAAGCAGAAACCTATCTCTGCACATAGTGATGGAGCCTGATGACTTCTACTGAGAAACCTGATGTCATTTTAATGAGTTAGGCATGGGGCATAAGTTACAGAGAGGGTGGCATAGCTTTACTGCCCAGCTCAAAGGACAATAAGCATATTTTCTGGTGCAGACACATGGGATGTTATCTTGTGCTCATAAATGCATGCCAAAGCCATGCTGAATGTGGCAGTGAGACATCTCCGGAGGGCTGTACCATCCTGTGTTCAGAACTGTCTGAACAGGTGCATTTTACTGCAGCTTGCCTTCCTAGTGCATTGTGGGACCTGGGGAATTTCTCAGGATGCGTCAGCTTCTCCAGCCTTTAAACCTGGGCAAAAAAGCTTCTTTTGTAAAAAGTTTTACTAAAGAAGCTTTACCCAAACAAAAAAACCAGCCCATCCCAAACCAAAACTACACATTACCCTATCAGAGAATCCTGCATCAGGTTAGGTTAGAAGGTATCTGTGGAGGCGATCTGATCCAACCCTCTGAAAGAAAGGCCAACTTCAAATTTACAACCCAACGCACTGAGCCTTTTCCAGTCAAATACTGACTATCTCCAAGAACAGAGATTTCACAAAAACTAACCACCAGGCATTTGGCAGGAATGTGGTTTATGCGGGTGACACAAGGCACTCTCTTCTCTCTCATCAAATGCAGCCTCACTGCCTCTTATTCTGTGGGGATTATCTGAGGATTTCTGTTTTTCTGAACAGAATTTGCTTACAGAGATGCAAGTTCTCTGGGTTCTGAGGTTAAGACTAAGATATTGCACTAAAGTTAATGAAAGGTGTTTTTTCCAGAAGTGTTCCTGAACTGGTACGGTCAGAATTTCTATCCATTCTTAAATGGCTTTTCTTTCATCTCCTATGTCTTTTGAAGTCCTTTCAAAAGGCAACTCAGCCCTGCTCCTTGTCTCCACTTGCCAACAGGCCAGCCAAAAGCTGTGGGTGAGGCAGGCCAGCTGACTCACCGGCCTGTTTCAGAGGCCCTCGAGCTCTGAAAGCCAGGACTATGACAAAGAAGGGAATGCTTACATGGGAAACAAATTTCAAAGGCACTGCCATAATGTGGAGGAAGGGGAATCTCTCCCTTATATACTGTTTCAGGTAGCAGATCACCTCATCATCTTGGACAGACACAACAGTCCAGCAGGCACCAGATTTGGGAGCTTTCTAGCTTCTGCAGTCACCTAAGAGGGGACAGGAGTGAAGCCAGTCTCCTTCCATTCCCCTTCCAGTATGTTCCCAGTTGAGGCAGTCTTTGGAGAGAGGCCTCTTGCACTATGAGAAATACCAACACACACGTACGTGCTCTTCAGCATCTTCATGCTAATCTATTTACAAATGGATGAGGCAGTTGTACCTCTGCCAGGATTTGAACTGTTTCTGATTCAGAATTAGCTTACGGCAGTTTACCTTCCCTCAGTCAACACTCTGATACCAGTGAAAGAGACTAAGACGTGGCTTCCCTAGCATAAATGCAGGGTGGGGGAACAGTGCTCTGTCAAGGGTGGTGGGAAAGAAACAGGCACCAGAATAAAATGCCAGCATATGCTATGTATTACTGGGTGTAATGTAGTACACTCAAGTATGTTACATTTCACACAGAGTTTCCACTAAGAGAGCCGCATTTCAAATCTCCTATTAGCGGCCACAAGAGTGCGGGTTGATTTCAGACTGCTGGGCAATGATTTACATGAGAAGATACTCAACAAGCCTTTTCTACATAAGCAATTAGAAGAAAAAAGCTGCTGTCTTGTCCCAATTAATTTTGTCTCTGGAAACCAGCACTGAATAAATTAATATGTCTAGGATTATAAAGGAAGGGAGGGCGACAAATATACAGTGTAATATCTGCAAACTTCGCTTTGCTGGCTGTGACTTGCAAGAAATCTGTCCCTGGGTTTTTTCTAATCCTATAGCCAAGGCAAGAAGGTTGTGTGCCCAACGAGGAATGATCCCTGGGAGGAAAAGAGAATAATTCCTCCTGAGAAACTACCTTCCAAATAAAAACGAGCAGAAATCCTACCAGAGCTCTCAACCACTGTTTCACATCTGCAGTCACTTTCCCACATGAAGGTCCTTAAGTAAGGGAAAATGGTTTCTGGGGAAAGGTGTTCACCTTCTCCCTGCAGACTTTCAGAGTGCTCCTAACATCAGCTAACTGTCCTCCTGCTTTATCTCCTGAATTATTCTGTCCAGAGGTAGACTCTGCCATCATGCCAAGTAGCACCCTCATGACTGAAGACCACCTTTACATATGGAGTGCTTTTCATCTGAGCACACCTCAGAGCAGGATCACACCAACTGGAAGACTGAACCTGTCTCCCAAGGTGAAATCAGCCAGCACTAAACAAAAATGCATAAATTCACAGGCAGCAACTGAAGAAATCAGAGTTCTCCCACGCCGGAATTTAATACTGGCATCCTAGCATTTCTTATGAACTGCTGTAGAGTACTCTCAGTGCCCGCCTACCTTACTAAAATTTTTAATTAGGCATTTCTGGCATTGCTGTCATCAGGCTGCAATGTTAGTTTAACACCACCACACAATGATCTCCCAAGCAAACTGTTGGCATCAAGTTTCACAGCATCCAAGCACAAGCCAGCTACACCCAGATTATAATGTAGAAAGTTGCTTTTTAGAATTGCAGTGCATTGGCCAACAACAAAAAAAACAAAACACCCAAAAAAACCCCAAAAAACAAACCAAAAAAGCAGCAAAGACTTGCAGCAAACATGAGATTAATTGCAACTACCCCAGGGTCCCTCCCTAGAGCCTGGGACAGCGCAGAAGGCAGGAAACCTAACAAAGCACAAAGCAGTAGGCAAGGTCGAGGCGGCAGAGAAAGGTGTGTCCTCTCTGGCTCCAGTAGGTAGGAAAAGGGAGGGGAAGACAGGGAACAATCCCAAGGAAAGAAAACCAGGTTGAAACTGCAGAACAGGAGAAAGACAAGCTCCTGGAAGCTTTGCACACAAGAGTTAGTCTGAGGAAGGCTTCCATCCTTCGTTATACTCACACTTGCATTTCTGCTCCTTCCAGCGGGTAACTGGAGAAGAACTAGCCCTGGCTAAGTGGAAAGGCACTACCTGGGGAAAAGGAATGAAGCAACCTGCCAATCAGACAATGTCAAAAGATAAAATTCAACCCAAATGGAAAAGATGGACATTACTGCAGGCCCTAAGACCACTGCTGCCACTCTGCAAGAACTCCTTGCAGGTAAATGACCTATCATGTACATCTGCCTACTAGTCACCATCCCCACCGTGGCCACATTTGGAACCAGTCCCTTTAATGGTTCCCTTGTTTGCTGTCAAGCAGGTGCTGCCTTTCTCTGTTGCACACATTTGTCACTAATCACTAAGGGAAGACCAAGCCCTGCCCTGCAACACCATGATCTTCCCTCTGCAGCTTGAAACCTGCTCCAAAAATGGGGAGTCCCAAGAAAGCACCTTGTTTTAATGGATGAAAACATGGACAAGAAGCACTGTTCCTGACACAGGCCTATGATCATTCAAACAGCCAAAAAACCCATGGTCTGCCTCGGCCTGAGCTAGAACACTCCTTCGGAGAGCTCCTGCTCCGTCCCACCCCAGCAGCCGCCCTACCTGCCCACCCCGTGTACGCCGTGCAGTCCTGTGGGTCAGCGGACTTGAGGCCCCTTTCCATCTGCTGGAGCAGCTCCCTGATTTTATTATTCAGCCTCTGCGTGAATTCGGGGGTCAGCTGCAGAGAAAAAAAATAATAAAACCACCAAACGTGAAGGAAACACGGGCAAGCAAATGTGGTAAGCTGAAGGAACTCAAAAGCGAGTACAACCAGGAAACCGGGTGTTTTTTTAATCTGACAGGTCTCTGCTAGAAACCCTTGGCTACCTCAGGACCAGGCTGGGCTCCTGGCT